TCTGGTCTCTTTTCTTCAATGGCAAGATCTAGCCCTTGTTGAAAAAAGACATCTAGAACCTCGTCTTGCCACATCCCAAAATGTCCGGACTCGTCAAAAATTTCTACCGCAAATTTCGCATTTGACACAATTCTTGTCATAAGCGAAGATGTCAATGATGACGTATTGTTGACACTTGATGTAGATTCTTCTTGTTTATTGTCTCCCATCTTTGACACAAATATTATTTAATAGCTGACGANATGTGGAAGATCAGACTATGCTGCAACCACAGAGCATACTTAGACAGTACCTTGGCTCTGATACCAATTGTTGCGGAAGCCAAATGTATATAGTGTGAATAAGTCACAACTACTATACCAAAAATTATGACAGCCACCAAATAATAAATAAGACAATAAAACAACAATAAAGGGAACACCAGAATTTACGAGGTTCGGCTAATTTTGTCTACTCCTCGGACACAACCAATATTTTATTTCACTCCAAAAATACAAGTGAAATAATACTAAAGAGAGAAGATACAAATGCCTTAAACAGATGAGAAGGCAAATGAGAGGTGTGTATAAATCCTAAACATTAAGTCTTCTTTTATAAGGGGAAAATCCCCCCAAAACTTAAGAGCCCACCGATGTGGGACAAAAATTTGCCAAATTCAACACACCCGTGGTCCGAAAATTATACTATGTATATAAGGTCAAACATTACTTTTGCTACATATATTTTATAATTTTGAACATCATTAGTGATATTGCTTGCTCCGCCACTGATGAGAGAAGGACTAATTAACAATTGCTAGACGATGTGGATCAAACATGCTACTTATAAGGATAACAGTTCAAGTTCTCTGCACTGACAATGTGACTATTTTAGTTAACTTATAACAATAAGTCATCAGAGCCAGTGTTTTAAAAGGCGTTTTCGGGGCGAGGCGCACCAAAAATGCCCCGAGACAATGGTGTGGGGCGAAAGTTTCAAGAGGCGTACGCCCGGGCGTTCGGGCCACGTTTTTGTAGTGAGGCATAAGCCCAGAGACTTTTTAAAATTAAAATAAAAATTGTTAAATAAGTCCTTCATATAATACCCAAACTAGTGTTAGAACCCGCACGATGCGCGGATAATTTGACAGAATATTAATCTTATAAAACTATGATCTAATATATCATATTATTTTAATAAATATTAATTACTACATTAAGACACTTGTCTTAATGTAGTGCTTTTGCTTCTCCTATTCTATATAGATAGATTCTCAAAAATCAACTTGTAATTACTCGAAAACTTGAAAAAGGAACTTAAATATATTAAATTTAAAAGTCAAGACCTTTTTTTATTAATTGAAGCCCTAATTTATGATTTTTCTCAATTCTTTATCTTATCCGCTAGTATACTAATATCTCCCAGAATCAACGAATATTCAAACTTTTTTTTACAAATACAAAGAGAACTACATTCTATTTCATAGTAGCAAGTTCAAAATTCAAATTGCAAGTTAGTCATCCTTTTTGTTCTTTCATGTAAAAATTTTTATTCTTTTCCACTCAAGTTACTTGTGTTTGTAAGTAGCGTATAATAGATTGTTTTGACTAGTTTGTTGTGGGGATGAAGCATATATATAACACATTTATAGTTTTCTTTAATTTTTATGCAATTTTACCTATTTATAAATATTTATTGTAATTATATTATTTTATAAAATATTAAAAATTAAATACCCTCGGGGCTTACGCCCCATGCCTCGGGGCTTACGTCTTGTTGAGGCACATGTAAAAGGACTCGCCTTATGTCCACGCCTTTTAAAACATTGATCAGAGCAAACTTGATATGGTAACATGTGAAATAGGATAATAACCTGCTATAACAAGTTAAATTGTACTGATATAATATTTTATGATCCTATGAAATACTTATGGTACTTGAACATTTCCTTGGAAAGATAAAAAAAAAGTTATAAGGAATAGATAATTACCAAACGCCATAACAATTCTTGGCCAAGTTATAAGGGTTGGAAAGATACTTGCACCAAAAATTCCAGTGTCAAGAATACTAAAGAGCCTGTTGCTTCCTTGGGACAGTACTTTCTCACCAAGAATTAGCAAGTACTGAAATGTGAAAATCATGAATATGTACCCTCCAATATTTTCTGCACATGGAAAGAAACCATATATATGTTTACATTCATCCCCTGAAGTTATAATTGCCTTTGAGCTGCCTAGAATTAGATAATCTGATTGATTCTTGAATTGTTCAACTCCATTTGAGATCAATTGAGTACTTTCTGAACCTTCAAGTTTCAGAATACGCCCTTCAATAATGGGAAAAACAAAGATCAAGATTGTAATAAAGAAGAAAGAAAAGCTAGCCATTGTAGAGAAAATGAAGAAAATTTTGTGCAACTATGAACCTCAATGTTTATTACTTCTTAGCTGCTACTGGTTAATATTTATTGTACTCAACTGGAGAAGTGAAGTTGCAGAATAGCACATCATGCTCACATCAGAAGGTTGCATCATCGTAATATTTTATTTTGTCCACCAAAAACATAGTAGTTAATTAAGAGTTAAGACTCGAAAATTTAGAGTCTATATTGTTTAGGTTATAATTGAAGACTTACAGATTGTTTGGATGGTTGTTACATATCGTTTTATAATGTATCGTATCGTATCGTATCGTATTGTATTATATTGTACTGTATTGTTTGATGAATACTATGTTTGGATAGATTGTGTCGTTTTCTATCGTTTCATGATATCACGCACCAACAATATGAAGAATAAACTTGCAATGTTATAAATAAAAGTTATCATACAGGGTAAAATTACTATATAAAAAGGTAGGGTAAATAATAAAATAAAATTATTTAATAATACTGAAGGGCGAGATTGTGAGAAAAAGACAAGGTAACGATGCGACCACACCAAATCGGTCGTTACATAAAGTGACACATTTCATCGTTACGTAACGACGAATTTAACGACACGATAAATTTTTACTAACAATCAAAACAAATATTGTATTTAAAGTAACAATACGATATAATAATACAATAAGTAACAACCATCCAAACAAGCGGTTAGTGAAAACATAAATAAAAGTACAATTGAATAGGACATCATGCTCACATAAGGAGGTTGCATCATCATAATATTTTATTTTGTCCATAAAAAAATATTTAATTAAGACCCGAAAATTTAGGGTCTATATTATTTTAATGAATAATTGAAGACTTAGTGAGAACATAAATAAAGTAGCACAATTGAATATTCATATAGTAGTATGGTTGTCAAGTGGAGGTGCTAGAATTAATATTAATTTCCTTCCAGTTGGTGGTGCAAAATGTGGTTAATAATGGACAAAGAGTGGTGACGCGCGCATGAGATTAATGGTTTAGCTATAATAGTATAATTTAATTAATGATCTCTCACATGTTTTAATTCGAAGACAATTAGGTTATAGGATTTCTTTGATTCCTAGTACACAACTTGGTCCAACGTTGTTCTTTCTTAATTTCCACCATTTAATTATTGCCTTGGAAACAGCCTCTCTACCCTTCGGGTATGGGTAAGGTCTGCATACATATTACCCTCCCCAGACCCCACTTGTGGGATTATACTGGATCGTTGTTGTTGTTGTAATTATTGTCATGGAAATAAGATTTCAAAATACATTAATTCATCAAAATCAGAAAATTAAATGTGTCCACGAAATCATCTTTCACTCGGTGGTTAGATCAATTGCCTCCAAGAATATTTAAATAGTAACAAAGTTTAGCAGTAACTAGTTGATTTAATTTATTTGGTCTTCTGGTAACCACTCTAAATATTTTATAGAAATAATCAAACACCATAATCTTTAGCTGGCTTCATCAAACCCACTTGTCTGGGTATCACAGAAAAAAAAAAGTAAACGAAAGAACCCTTTTGATTGGTGCTTACGCTAAACTAATATGTGTAAGTATTTAGAGTTTTATCAATTAATTAAAGTTAATTAATGTATATTATAACAATATTAAATGACTTAATCATGATAAATTAATATGATTTAGAGTAAAAATCGGGTGCAGAATAAAAAAATATAAGGTACATTACGGGGTCATTTGATATGAGGTATAAGAAGGTATGATGTTGGTATAAAAATTTAATACCACCTTAATACTTTGTTTGATTAGCTAATCAGGTATAAGTTATTCTAGGATTAAAATTAACACAAGGATAACTTATACCTTGTAGAGGGTGGGGTAATTAGCACTGGAATAACTTATACCTTCTTTTTAAAAATTATGCAATTGTCATTTTCAATACAACATACCAAAAAATGGATGAAAATAATCCTAGCATAACTAATCCCAGCATAACTTATCCCGGCATAAGCTGTATGCAAATTTAATGTGTAAGTTGCATTGTTTATCACATTGCTTGACGTTTACTTCTTATTTGTTTATTCATATTATGGTTACTAATTTATTTTAGTGACAACGATGAAAATGACAAAAACTAGGAGGACGACCAACTTGTGAATTAATGGGACTTTTTTGGCAATTTTGGATTTTTTAATTATTTTTAGTATCTTTCTAGTTTCTAGTGCAATTTTTATACTATATTTTTTGAAATTTGATAGCACTTTCCTCATGTTTAAGGTTAAATATTTGTCGAGCATAAATTGTTGATGAAGACTAAAAGTATTAGATTTTGACAAACTTAAAGGATCAAAACTGTCTAGTACATGCTTAAAGGACTATTGTTAACCTATCTTCAAACATAAGGGGCCATTATTGTCAACTTATAGAAAACTTAAAAAACCAAGACTATTTAGTAGTTAGTACATGCTTAAAGGGCGACTATGAACCGATCTTCAAACATAATGGACCATTTTGTCATTTTCTCGAAACTACATACCTGTATGTATTTGGATTCTCTCTTTTTGACTGCTAGTTCCCCCTCTTTAATTTCCCGATCAAAAACCTCTCCCCGTCCGACAGATTCCGCCATAATCGGCGGCATTGCAGTGCTGTCTTTGTCCCAAGCTTCATTGAAAAATCTCCAACAGTGAAAGGCATGGCATTATGGCTTTCTATCAATTTCAACTTCTGTTGGATTTTACGAAACTGAGTATAGGTAATGGTAAGACGACCCAATTTTGATCTATTAATTCTTTTTCAGAGAGAATTTTCCCTGCCAAGTATTTGTTTGCATAAGATTTGTCATATTCTACGTTGACGTCAAACACAAAAGTCCTTTAAGTTGAAAACCATGATGACTGAAGGTAAGTATATTTAAAATTACCGAAGGTACTATGCTTTACATCAAATGGTGTTGTGATAGGAACTCAACTGAATTCCAGCTAAGAAACGAAGGAGAAGCTCACCTAAAGGGCAAATATGGAGAATTGCCCTTGAACAGTGTGCTCGATTAGAACTCAACAATGGAGTTCTGAGTAATTGAAGAGAGAGAGAGAGAGAGATGAGAAGAATATAGAATTCTTATTCAAACATTACATGAGAAATTACAGAATTGGGGAAAATTCAATCTATATAGGAGGGCGGGAAAGTTAGTTGTAACTAACTTTAGGAACTCCCCTTCCTTCAGCTGCCTAGCGCGTGCAACTCACGTGAGTTTCTAACAACTTTTTAACAAACTCCTAACTGATTTAGCTAATGGGGTATTTAGCTAATAGGATCGTATCATGTACCCCCCTCTACAGACAATCCTTGTCCTCAAGGATCAAATAAAGGAAACCTCTGCTTCATGACATAGTAGTCTTCCCAGGTGCTATCTTCAGGAGTAGCATTAAACCATTTGACTAAAATCTCAGAAACAGCACGCCCATGTTTTTGAATCATGCGCCTATCCAGTTTAGCTTCAGGTTCCAATAGAACATGACCTTCATCGGAGAGCACCACTGGTAAGGTAACTGTGGCTGAGTGAGATCCAATCTTCCTTTTCAGTTGGGAGATGTGGAAAGTGGGATGAATCTTTGTACCAGCAGGCAGGTCCAAGGTGTAAGCAACTGCTCCCACCTTAGCAATGATTTTGAAAGGACCAAAAAACTTGGGTGAGAGTTTCTGATAACCATGTGACTTGAGAGAGAGCTGTCTATAAGGTTGTAACTTGACATAAACCCAATCTCCTACTGCATATGCCCTATCAGTTTTTCCTTTGTCAGCTTGGGCCCTCATCCTATTCTGGGATTTCTCCAAATGAGACCTCAACAGTCTGAGGGTGGCCTCCCTAGCCTGTAGACTTCTATCAACCAAGTCCAATTGGGAGTCAAAACTCATATAAGGAAGCAAGGGAGGAGGCTTCTGGCCATAAACTGCCTCATAAGGGGTCATGTTGGTGCTGGAATGATAGGATGTGTTGTACCACCATTCAGCTAGTGGCAACCACTGTGGCCATGTTCTTGGTTTCTCAAATGTCATGCATCGAAGGTAGGCTTCTACACATCTGTTAACCACCTCTGTCTGGCCATCTGTTTGAGGATGGTAGGCTGTGGAAGTTAGGAGAGAAACCTGCTGTAACTTGAACAACTCCTTCCAAAATTTACTTGTAAACACAATATCCCTATCTGACACTATAGACTTAGGCATTCCATGAAGTTTTAACACCTGATCCATGAACACCTGAGCCACTTCCAATGCAGTGTAAGGATGCTTGAGGGCTATGAAATGGGCAGCCTTGCTCAGTCGATCCACCACTACAAAAATCACTTCTTTCCCAGCAACCTTAGGAAGGCCTTCAATAAAGTCCATGGAGATGTCTTGCCAAACCTTCTCTGGTATAGGTAAGGGCTGGCGTTATCCTGGATAAGCCACAGTCTCATTTTTGCACTTTTGACACACATCACAGCTCCTTATATAGTTGTAAACATCCTGCTTCATTTTCTTCCAATAGAAATCTTGTTTAAGCCTTTTCAATGTGGCTGTAATGCCAGAATGACCTCCTATAGGACTGTCATGGTAATAGGATAAGAGTTTAGTTCTGAGTGCTTGATCAGTACCAATCACCAATTTATTCTTCCTGCTTAGAATCCCATTGTGAAACCTATAGTAAGGTTTAGTGGTTTTGCCTTCCTGTATGGATTTGATAAGCTGTTGAAGTGTAAGATCCTGAGTCCGTGAAGCTTTGACTGATTCCAAAATATCTGAGCTAACATTGGAAATGCTATATAGTTGAATGCCTTCTTCCCTCCTAGATAAAGCATCAGCAACCACATTCTCTTTTCCCTTCTTGTAGTCAATAGAATAGTCATAACCAAGCAACTTGACTAGCCATTTCTGCTGGCTTGGAGTAGTGATCCTCTGCTCCAACAGGTACTTAAGGCTGTGATGATCAGTTCTGATGGTGAATGGTCTTCCCAGCAAATAGGGTCTCCACTTTTGTACAGCAGATATCAAGGCTAGTAATTCTCTTTCATATACTGATAGTGCCCTGTTCTTGGCTGATAAACCCTTGCTAAAGAAAGCAATAGGTTTATTGTTTTGGGCCAGAACAGCTCCAATCCCCTTACCAGAAGCATCAGTCTCAACTGTGAATGTTTTTGAAAAATCTGGGAGAGCTAGAACAGGTGCTGAAGTGATAGCTCTCTTCAATTCTTCAAAAGTAGTATTGGCTGCAACATTCCATTGAAAGTTACCCTTTTTGAGCAAGTCAGTTAAAGGCCTTGCAATAATACCATACCCCTTGATAAACCTCCTGTAATAACCAGTCAATCCCAAGAATCCCCTTAGACCCTTGATGGAAGAAGGTAGTGGCCAATCCAGCACTCCTTGTACCTTCTGATTGTCCATAGACACACCATGCCCAGAGATAATGTGGCCTAAGTAGTGAATTTGAGTTACTCCAAAAGCACATTTACTCTGTTTGATGAACAAGGTATGGGATCTCAGCACCTTGAAAGCTTCCTCCAGATGTACTAAGTGGTCAGTCCAACTTTGGCTGTATATGAGGATATCATCAAAGAAAACTAGGATAAACTTTCTGAGGAATTTGTGAAAAATCTGATTCATCAAGCTTTGAAAGGTAGAAGGGGCATTGGTTAAACCAAAAGGCATAACTAGGAATTCATAGTGGCCATGGTGAGTCCTAAAGGCAGTCTTAGGTATGTCTGGTTCAAACATCCTAATCTGGTGGTAGCCAGCCCTTAGATCTAGCTTAGAGAAGTACTTAGCACCATGTAATTCATCCAGCAGCTCTTCAATTACAGGTATTGGGAATTTGTCCTTGACTGTGTAGCTGTTTAACTCCCTATAATCCACACATAAATGCCAGGATCCATCCTTCTTCTTAACCATCACAATAGGGGATGAATAAGGACTAGTACTGTTCCTTATGATCCCAGAATCTAACATCTCGTTCACCATTTTTTCAATTTCATTTTTTTGCACATTAGGATATTTATAAGGTCTGATATTGATAGGAGAAGTACCTTCTTTTAGGATGATCTTATGGTCATGCAGTCTAGGAGGAGGAAGTTGTTTTGGTTCCTCAAAGAGATCACTGTACTGCTGCAATATAGCTTGTAACTCTCCATTCCTACTAGGCTCCTGGGGCAAGCTTTCCACTGCCAACAGGCTAATTTCCACATCTTGCTGCTGGTGCTCCATGAACAAACCTACAGATATCATGCATAACTCTGCAGGTTTGGCCAATAACTTGTCTATGCTGCCTTGCTGAATCAACTTGGTAGCTGGGGGTTGTATTCCCCTTAATGACACCTTGTGCCCCATAATGTTGAACTCCATTCTAAGTTTTTTGAAGTTCCACATGATATCCCCCAATGTAATTAACCACTGAATACCCAAAACCATGCTGCACCCTCCAATTGGTAATACCAACATATCTGAATCAAAGGACACACCCTGCATCTTCCACATCAGCTTCTTACATATGTTGTTGCTTTTCACCTTCTTCCCATTAGCTACAGACACATCAAAAGGACCTATAGCTGTCAATACACAACCCAATTTCTTGGCAGTATTAAGGTCCAAAAAATTGTGAGTGCTGCCAGTGTCAATTAGGACCTGCACAACCTTGCCCTTGACACCCTAATAGTCCTAAAATCATGCAGGCCATTCATAGTATGAACTGACACATGAGGCAAAATGGACCCCTCATCATCAGTTTCCCACTCTTGACTAATCATACTCAATAATTCTGCTGAATCCAGCATCACATCTTGCTCTATCTCCACTCCTTCTAAGTCCTCTTCCACTTCCATAGAAAACAGTTGTCTCCTATTTTTACACACATGACCAAAACTGTATTTCTCATCACAGTTATAACAAAGGCCTTTACTTCTTCTTTCCTCCATTTCAGCAGGGGTTAGTCTTTTGGCATTTCTATAGGTAGGTTTAGAAGGTAAGGTTTTGGAGTTGGAAGGTTTATTTGAGGGTTGACTAAATCTGGGAGTTATCTGAATATTGGTTTGCGAAGGTTGGGGATTAACAGACGAAAATCTGGGTGTATTCTTGGTTGAAAATGAAGGATTTGAGAGAATCATGAAGACTTGTTTCTGGACTATCAATGTCTGCTCCTGAATCCTAGCTAAACTAATGGCTTTAGCTAGAGATCTAGGTGCTAACATCTTACCAGGTAAGCCAATTTCTGGTTTCAAACCCCTAATGAAACAGCTAACAACATATTCTTCTGATAATTCCACCCTAGTTAACAGTTCGTCAAACAAATCAACATAGTCTTGGACTGAACTTACCTGTCTTAGATCTTTAAGATGTCCCATGGGATCATCAAATAGCTCAGAACCAAATCGAGCATACAAGCGAGCTACATACTCACCCCACCTTGGCCAATCCCTAGTCACCTTGTGCTTCATATAGGATTGATGCCATTGTAGAGCCCTTCCTTCCAGCTTGCACGAAACTGCTCTCACTTTAGAATCTTCAGGTATCTCTTCATATGCGAAAATCTGTTCGCATTTGTATAACCAATCTTTCAACCCTACACCATCAAAAACAGGAAATTCTGTATGATAATCACGATTGGGAGGTTGATGGCCTCCAGGACGAGGGCCTACCACCTCTGGCCTTTCATTCTCTACAGGGAACTCATGATTTTGGACTCCAGTCGTAGCCAAATTTCCCACCAGCAACTTCCTAATTTCATCCATAGCCTGAGCCACCCTATTGTCGACTGATTTCTGCAATTCCGCCACTGACGATGTAACTGACTCTATCGATCCCTTGAGACTATTGACTTCTTTCCTTAATTCGTGCATTCGAGTGTTGTGATCGCCCATTTTCACAGCTCCAAGGAACGAATGCTCTGATACCAATGATAGGAACTCAACTGAATTCGGGCTAAGAAACGAAGGAGAAGCTCACCTAAAGGGCAAATATGGAGAATTGCCCTTGAACAGTGTGCTCGATTAGAACTCAACAATGGAGTTCTGAGTAATTGAAGAGAGAGAGATTTGAAGAATATAGAATTCTTATTCAAACATTACATGAGAGATTACAGAATTGGGGAAAATTCATTCTATATAGGAGGGCAGGAAAGTTAGTTGTAACTAACTTTAGGAACTTCCCTTCCTTCAGCTGCCTAGCGCGTGCAACTCACGTGAGTTTCTAACAACTTTTTAACAAACTCCTAACTGATTTAGCTAATGGGGTATTTAGCTAATAGGATCGTATCATGTTGTTAAGAGTCTGTCAAGAGGTTTGTTTGTCAATAGACAATGTAGAGAACTTTTAGTGTTAGAGAACCTAAAATTATTGAATATTGAATGATATGAGTCCAAATAGATCAGTGGATAGTCAGTAATGTATGTGGTGTGTGTGTATATGTATTGCTTGCCAAAAAGTCACTTCAATTCACAAGTTTGTTATTGATTAACATTTAACACATGGCACAACTATGCCTCAATCCAGAATAAGTTGGGGTCGGCTATATAAATCCTTACCAACGTTGTATCTTCTATAGTGTTCTTTGACCGATTATTTGCCACCTGCTCTCCTGTGTGCATCTACTGCTGTTCTTATTAGTTAGTAATTGACAAAAGCTGAAAGAATAAGAACTTAAAATTTTATAAATACTATAAAGGTACAAAAGAATTTGAGATTAGTGGATCTGAATTACAGCATCAAGCAGTAATTATTGGAAGAATGGAGAATAAATTGGATAGGTGGCCGGGACGATGCAAATTGTGCTTCTACAACAGAAACCACCATTCATATGTAGATATCAACACTTCATCTGAGTAAATTTGAGAAGAGAGCATTTTAATTACAACATCAATTAGATTATTATTTATTGGAAAATATAAAGCAGTACAAGTGAGATAGGATAAAACAAGAAAGCTAGGAGACATGCCCAAAGTGGATAAGTGGTGCGGATGAATGCAAAATGGCCAGTTACAGCACAGACTACCGTAGCTATCAACAATTAAGCTGAATACTTCCATGCTAAGTCCTTTGCATACAATACAGTTAACACGGTTGACATGCCCATTATGTTTTTCAAGATCACTCCCACATAGATCTGCTTTTGAAGCAATTTAAAGAATAGAGTCGTCAAGACAAAATTATCAATAAAAAAGGTAAGTATTCTGCAGGAGTATTCATGAGAAAATAAAGATAAGAAAGAATCTACAGAACGTAGTATTTCTGTAGGCATATTTGAGATAGAGGAAAAGAGATGTAGATCTGGGAAAATGTCAAAGAAGCAGCTGTGGAACTCTGCTGGCTTGTTGAAGATAATAATGTTATTGCTGTTATTGCATTGATAGCCAGAGGTACTATGACAAATGACAGAAAGAAAGAAGGCACCCGATTGCACTAGCCAGTCGTATAATATTAATGGATCTGCACACAATGTTAATATAGCAATACCCAAAATCATTTGCAGCACAGATTTGCAGAATGCCCATTTTAACACCAAAGATTTGCAGAATGCCCATTTGATCTTGAGACCTGAGACTACCTGGAGCCAAATAAGAATTTGCCTCAAATATGAGAGCTGAGAAGCATATGTATCACATAAAACCAGAGTGTCATCTGCAAATAAAAGATGAGTGACCCGTAGGTCACAATGCTCGCTGAACGAGCCGGTGAAGCCCCTTAAGAGACCCCCTGAAGCCTTAAAATGCGATGGTGTTGGTTGAATTACTAAGTTGCATTTTGTCACCAGTTACTAGATCTAGGACTTCTTTTCATATGGATTACTTTAAGAGTTCAACCTGATGATAACTGAATTAGATGAAACCTTGCTGGAGCTGCATTTGATTCTTGTATTTACCTTATAATGGAGAGGACTCACATGGACATTGTAACATTGTATTTATGACCACCAAATTATTTGGAGTTCCTTTTATGTTTCTGGTCTTAATTTTGCTATGACAGGGTAGGAACTTAAGTCATTTACGTTGCAGATACCAAGACGATTGGCTTATGATGGACCTAGTTCTCTTCAGCTCTGGGAAAAGGCACCTTTTGAGCCTTATGCAATACCCAAACATGTAAGTTTATGATAGATAACACAAGTATTAAGTTCTTAATATCTTTAAGCAGTTCTTTTGCATTTCTCCTTAACTACTATTTTTCCACCATTTTTTCCAAAAATTTTCAGATGTCATATTACGTTGTCTGTCCAGACATCAATGCTCTAACAACAGCTGCAACTGATTTTTTCCAACAGCTTGGAACTGGTTAGTGTACTTAAATGTCTTGCTGATCTGAAGATAACATATTGTGTTCCATCTGTGCTACAGAAAATAATACACTGGTTGCTTTGGTTGTAGGAAGGTTAAGATTCAGGTATCTGAAAAGTGTAAATACACATTGATTTCACAAGGTGGCTGGTTCATATTTAATAATCTGCATTTCATAACTCAACCTGCATGTCTCTTCCATTTTGGAGATGTGGATAAGTGACTAATTTGAAATCATTTTTTTTAATTGCACAAAAAGATGAGATCAAGGTTTGAAATCATTTTTTTGGTGAAAATCTGAATACATAGATGATCCTGAGGAAATTCTAGATGTTTTAGGTTCCTTGTAAGAACAAGGTTTTTTGTTTTTTACTATTTTGGGGCTTTGATGTAATATACACACACACACACAAAACACACACACACACACACACACACACACACAGAGAGAGAGAAATATGTTACCATTCTCAAATAAAGAAGATGAAATCAAAGTTGGAAAGATTATATTGAAGTAACTAGAAAAAGGAGATCAAATTATTGCGTTCTTCTCATATAAATCCAGCTTCAAAATTGTCCTTGACCTGGATATTTGTAATGTAAATATGGCCACCTCTATGTTTGACGAATGAAATTTTGTCCTTGACTTGGATATTGACTACGCTTCTCTCTTTCAGTTTATGAGATGTGCAAACTGGGAACTCATTCACCTCAATGTATGGGAAATGAGATGGAGATAGATTCTGGGAAGAATGTATCTTCTGTTTTTGTTCTGATTGATTGCCCTCAGTCAATGAAGATAGACAGCAGTAGTGCATCTATGCTGGGATCAATCAGTGATTATTTCCTATCCCTTTCCAATGGCTGGGATTTAGAAAGCTATTTGAAATCTCTCTCAAAAGTTCTCAGGAATTTAAAGCTTGGTTCATGCATGACCATGAATCCAGAAGAAGGAAGTACTGGTCCATGTACAGTAAGTTGTGACTCTCTTTGTTTGTCTTTTTTATTCCTCATCTACTTTTTTCTCTCTATCTCGCTTTTGTTCTCTCTTTCTCTCTTTTCCTCTCTCTTTTCTCTATTGCACTATAAAGTCGAAGATGCATCATTAAAGTGAACTTCGTTGAGTCCATTATGGATTAGCGGAAATAAAGTATCCTTTTGATAGAGTTTAGATGTTAGGACAGTCCCACCCCTTTCTCTTGATATGGGTATGCAAAGCAAAAGGGCAAGAGTAGATTGAGAGAAAAGAGTGATTACGTGGTCGTTAATTGTCACATGTGCTTCATAAGTATTTTGCCTTCTGGATAAGCTAATGCAAAAGGAAAAACTGGAAAGTACTTGTCAATCTAGAACTTTTCTTACTGCCTCTGGTACCTCCACTACGTAGCTATTTATTTTACTATGATCGGTCGTGACAAGAATGTTTATGTTGCTAAAGCTTGGGGTTTGGTAGCTGTCAAGTTGATAGTGAAGGAATGCCTTGCACAATGACCTGGTCTGTTATAATATTGTTACCCCAAGAGTAGTTCTCACTTACCTAAGGTTAGTGAAATGCCCAGTAGTTGGATGGGCAAATATAGCAAGGGAGACTTGTAAATGTTTCGTCTTATGTAGGTGTCAAAATTTACTAGTAAAATGCATCTGCTAAAGGGGATTAGTCAGCTTCAAAGGTGATAAATCTCTAAGGTAGAGCAGCAGACGAAGTGATTGGATTCTAGGCGTAACAGTAGCTCAAAATTCTCTTAATGTGAGAGAAGGATATACTGTGACCAGTTGAAACATTTGAGAAGCTTAATTATTAAGGGCTAAATTTTTGAAAACTGAGATGAAGTAACCTTGGCTAAGGGCTAAATGCTCTTATATTTCTGGTTGCATTTCTGATTCATAATTACTGATTGTTTTCTTTTTTCTTAGTTTCGGATACCCACTTGTTCCATTATTTTGGTCTTTGACTTCCATCTATCCAAAATGCTTCTTTTCAGAAAAGTTGAAATACTCTACCGACACTTTTGAGGAGTCAATGCAATGTAGCTTTGAATGAGAATCTGACATGCTGTTCTGTTGGGTCCAAATGGGGAAGAAATAGATATTTGAGAATTCATATAGCAGACTTAACTAGTTTGGGATTGAGGGTATTTCTTTGTGTTATTTTCTGTTCTACCATTTCCATAGTTATAAAACCCTGGAGTATCGGACTTAAGCGAATGAAAAGATGATACTAGGAAATATCTCATTTAAGCGATAAATTATATGGACAAAGTATTTCACCAGAAACTGATATCTGATTGTATATTTGAATGTTAAATCAGGTGATATACGTGGTTTGCCCTTTCGCTGAGCCTCTTGCGGTCCTACAGACGGTGATTGAATCTTCTATTGCTGCTGGATCAGTAATTCTTTCTTCAGACAAAGAGAGGCGATCTACACTGCAGAATCAAGTCGGGAAGGCCTTAAGTTACTCAGCAGCAGTGGATGAGTCACTCCCAAATGTTTTAACACTTTCAGGGTTTTGTATTCCTAAGTTGGTACTGCAGATTGTCACTGTTGATGCAATTTTTAGGATTACAAATCCTGCTGTCAGTGGGCTTGTCATCCTAAAGGAAATTGCTTTCACAGTTTATTACAAAGCCCGCAGGATATCTCGAGGGTCCTCCAGAGACATGGTTCAGTCATCATCCATGTCTGGTAGATCTCATCCGGTCCTGATGCAAATGACTTCCCCAGTTCCAGGGATGTGGAAGGACTGTGTTGGTCCTCGAAGCATAGGAACTTCCCTTCAGAGAGAGGCTGAACTTGATGCTAGCCTAAGGTCTGGTAGTTGGGACAACTGGCAAACATCAAGAGGGGGAGGTCTCGGATGTGATCCAAACAGAATGGAGGATTTTTCTTTTCAAGATGAAGTTCGTTATTTGTTTGAGCCCCTTTACATTCTCGCTGAACCAGGTTCATTGGATCGTGGACTTTCATTTCCTATGTCTTGTAATCCAATGGCTGAATCTTCAAAGCTTTTGTTAGATGATTGTACAGGTGAAAATTTTATGCAGAGTTCAGCTTCTTCAGGTGGCGGAGACACTGGAACAAACAATCAGTCTGAAACATCTGAACCAGATGGCTTTGGATCTGCACATCAAAAGTCACTTCCAAGCCTGCATTGTTGTTATGGATGGACTGATGATTGGCGCTGGCTGGTGTGTATATGGACAGATTCCAGGGGAGAGTTGCTTGATAATTATATATATCCATTTGGAGGAATAAGTAGTAGGCAGGATACGAAAGGCCTGCAATCTTTGTTTGTGCAAATTCTGTGACAAGGATGCCAGATACTTCAGGCATGTCCTCCTGAGGCTGCCATTGCCAAGCCTAGGGATTTTGTCATTGCACGTATTGGAAGCTTCTTTGAGCTTGAATGCCAGGGTAAACATTCGCTATCAATATTTTGTGCTTATTGTTTACTTTTATTGCATTACGATCCACAACGGTCTTGAATTTTGATGACATTGACTTGCTGGCTCCACCTTTAATTCCAACAGATTTTCAGCTGATCTCATTGTTATTCTTGGTGTGGGATAAGATTATATGACACTTTGAACGTCTTGAAAGAGTGCAGCTTTTGTTGGTTTTATTTTGAGGGACTAGAATGAAGTTTCTGCTTGGGTTACCATTCATCTGTAATGTTGCTGAAGTTGCTAATCTTATTGATGCAATTTTCTGGACGCAGAATGGCAGAAAGCCCTGTATGCAGTTGGGGGATCTGAGGTGAAGAAATGGTCTCTGCAGCTAAGACGATCTGTGCCTGATGGAATGTCGGCAAGTAGTAATGGGACATCCTTGCAGCAACAGGAAATAGGTCTGATTCAGGAAAAAGCACTTCCTTCCTCCCCTAGTCCATTGTACAGTCCTCACTCAAAGGCTTCCTCTTTCATGAAAGGTGGCTTGGAGCAACCATCCACAAGGAAGCAGTTAATTGGTGGACAGGGTATGGTGGACAACTCGAGGGGTTTACTTCAATGGGTGCAAAGCATTAGTTTTGTCTCTGTTTCAATTGATCATTCCTTACAGCTTATGTTGCAAGCAGATTTAATGAGTCACGGTAGGTGTCGTCTTTTCCCTTCTTTTTGTTTCTTTGATTCCCTTTTTATCTGATTGATTTGACTCTCCTTGCCTTTCTTCTGGAATCTCTTATACTATCTACCAATGAACTGTAAAGGAGATGTTATTTCTGAAAACTTAACCAATCAGAGATAAAATGAACTAGGGGCCACTTGTAAGCATAATGTTCTTTGCAGATAACACTCCAAGGGAATTGCTTCTCTAGTTGGAGGTGTGAAATTATTCTTTGAGAAACTC